GCTTGGGAAATTTCTTTGTGCCTCGATTATAGAAAAAAAAATGTTATTAGACTGGGGCTGCATGGTGCTTTGTGCCTAATGGCTCACCGTTTTATTATATTTCATGGGAGCTTATGAGAACCGGGAATTCGATAATGCCACACACACACACGTGTGTGTATTGATATACGGTATACACATATATCAAAGGTTCATTGCTGACTTGTATGGCACACCGAGCTTGTGCGTGTGTGTCTATCATTGTGAAGCAGTGGTGTCGCGGTTAACTAATATCCAAGACCAGTGACTGTTATCTGAGCCGGTTGTGGGCCTCTCCTAGGTTGACTCGGCCTCAAATGAGTACCTGGTGCAATGTGTAAACATCGCCACTGGGGAGACAAAGGCGGTCGGGTGTGGTGTTGCCCACCCACCCCCTCGTGTGCTACGCTGGCCCTCATACGTGCTACTCGCTAACAGCACTTGCCCCAAGAGCCTGTTGAGGCTACACGGGGCATCTTTATCTTTGTCTATCATTGGAAGCAAGGAGTCGTTCGCATTCCGTACAGCTGTGGAAACGAAACACAGCGCCGGGAACTTCTTCCTTCAAAAGCACCAGGGCGAAAAACGTCGTGCGCCAATCGGATTGGCAACACGCGCTCACTGCGCGACAACGAATGGCAGACAGCTGTCGAGCACACCCGCGACAACCTACGCACCGTCCCGTTAGGACCGTACATAATTTTGACCTTTCGAGGCATAATCTGCAATTCAATGTATCCGCTGATGTCAACCTATTCATAACGCCAACTGCGGTGAAAATGTACCCCCAACCCCACCTCCCTCCGCCGACCCGAAGTATTCCAAGCGCGAACTCTCCAATTGCGAGTCAGTCGGTCTCTCTGCCATTTCTCTCTCTCTCTCTCCGTCTCCTCTCACTCGAGGAGATCGCATCGCCCGTGCAGCGACAGCGCAAACGGCTCAACCACGACAAATGCGACGCGGCACACCGGCGGTATGCTATGCACACTCGTCAATGAATCAACGATGTCGTACTTTCCGCGACAACGATTCGAGATCGCAATGAAACGTGCGTTCGGAGTATTCGGCATGCTGTGAATTTCCACACGATCATCAGCCGCCTCTCGTCGGGCGATCGTGTGCGATGGCCAGGACGGTCCTGAACAAAGAGCTGTTCAGTGGGGCCTTACTTGCTAAAAAAAAAAAATTGTTAGAAAAGTAAACAAAAACCTTAACGCTGTGGCACAACGAAGCACCAATGGGTGGGGTTTTCACACAAAACTCTTAGTTTTTTCGGTAAAGTCACATAGGTAAAAAATGAAATTAAAATTAATAAAAATAAAATATTACCAAAATAAAAATCACGACGTTTCGGAGGCAACACAAGTCTCCGTCATCAGGTGGGACCGTCACAGCCAGATTTGCTGTATCAAGTGAGCTTGATATAGCAAATCCGGCTGTGACGGTCTCACCTGATCACTTGATGCAGCAAATCTGGCTGTGACGGTCCCACCTGATGACGGAGACTTGTGTTGCCTCCGAAACGTCGTGATTTTTATTTTATTATTATTTTTATTAATTTTAATTAAATTTTTTACCTACGTGACTTTACCGAAAAAACTAAGAGTATGAATCCTTGAAGTCACGAAAGCTTCAAATCTAGAATTTTCACACATTGCCAGTTTTCTACCCACAGCGCCATGCTTTGTTGATAACATCATCATGCCGAGAGATGGGCATGGGGGGGATTATTTGCTTCGGGCCGGACAAAGCGCGTTTGTCTGCGCTGATCGTTACACCCCGACGCAAACTGAGCGCGTTCGTGTGTGTGTGTGTCTGAGAATGGCGCATTAGAAATCCAATTTCCTGACGATATTGTGTTCGTTTGGACGAAACGTATGGGCATTTTTATTCCACTCTCCCCTCTCTCTCTCTCTCTCAGTTCTCCCTCTTTCATCTTCTCTTCTGCTTTCTTCGAATAATAGAAAATACATCTCTTTGCGGGGTGTTTAGAATTTCAAATTTGTAATCCATATTCATACATTAAATTAGAATGTTTTCACATTTGTTATGAACGAGCAATTGCATTTATCTATCCATGGAGTATAGAAACATTATTGACAAACAACAATAACTAAAATTTAGATTTAAAGCTTTCGTGACTGCAGGGATTAATATTATTGGATCTTTCGGTAATGTCACGTAGAAGGGAAAAACCTACACTTAAAAAAAAAATCTTGCTGTGGATTTCACACCTGACGATGATTGCTTGTGTTGCAGTCGAAATGTCGTGAGAATCTTTATTGTTTTATATTTTATTATTTTATCATTTCCCTTCTACGTGACTTTACCGAAATAACCAAGAATAACAATAACTCACTCTATCTCGATTTATATCTGTCATATGTTTGGATGGAGAACCTCTTTCGCCGCCGCACTATATCAGAGGTCATTGACTCTCTCGTCTTGTATATATTAGATGGTTTGGGAAATGGGCCTTTTGCACGATAGTACTCTCTTTTAGACAATGTACACTGATGATGGGTCAATGCCTGAAACGTCGGCCTATTTTATGTTTGCCTGTGTAGCGGTGGTATTCGCGAGGAAAGTGGCGAGTTGATTTTTTTTCTAATTCGTGTTAATGTTTGTTTCTTTCAAAATTGTATTTATTAAGTCCGGAATTCCAGAATTAACGTTACAATCTCACACTGCATCACATGCCTCTTGCGCATGCAGGAGGCTGACAAAGGTCCGTGCCTCTGCGTATCTATAGTCAGTTTTACAACAGCAACAACAGCAAGCTACGCCAAGGTAAATCAACAAGGGCAGGCCACTCGGGCAGAACACACCAATGCATACATATTTTTAAAACAAATTTGGCTCCTATTGATTTCAGCACAAAATGCCACAGAGGTCATTGGTGGGAATAAACATAGCAATTTCTGTCCACAGTCATACGATCCTAATCCTTTACGGTAAAAAAAAATGAATTTTTTTCCCCCTTCAGGTGTGGCTATGGACTATGGCAGGGGTCGGGAACCTTTTTGACTGGGAGAGCCATAAAAGCCAAATATTTCTAAATATAATTCATTGAGAGCCATATAGTATTTTTAACGTATAATAAATTAAATATGTCTTACTTTTAATGCGACTTCTGGTGCTGCATGGTTTTGCTGATGGCCTTGTAGTCTGGTTCATACGTGGTGAGGTTGAGCTTCATGCAGGCGTGACCCGTGAAATTTATCTTCAAAACTAATTTCTGTTTACTTTAAAATGACACAGTATTATTAAACAATATCACAAGTATTTAAAAATCAGTTCCAAACTGATTTTTATTATTATTATTTTTTCCAACTCAAAATTGTCTGGGAGCCTTATGCCGTCACCGGAAGAGCCATATATGGCTCGCGAGCCATAGGTTCCCGACCGCTGGACTATGGGGAGGGCAGGCAATCGTGTGGGGGAGAGAGAGCCGGTCTCGTTGTTGTTGTTGTTGGGGCGAAAGAAAAATGACCAAACGGGCAAGCTGGCCGTGTCCATTTTTCAAACGGTGGTGGAGGGGGGGGGGTCAAAAATGAAAAAAAAAATCATCATTAAGAAATGAAATCGATGAAATGACAGCCGTTTAATCAGCGTCGCCCGAGGGCCTCGTGTTTCCCCCGTAAAAGATTGACAGGAAATTTAAAGGGGTCGCTTGAACCTCTCGCAATGAACTGAGAAATGGTAAAAAACAAACAAAGACAAAGATACCCGTATAGCCTGTGACAGACTGTTTGGGGGCAAGTGCTGTTAGCGAGCAGCGCCTACGAAGGCCTGGACGGCACATGAGGGGGCGAGTGGCCAGCACCAACGCCCGGCCGCCTTTGTCTCCCTCGTGGCGATGTTTACTACACACCGCACCAGGTACTCATTTGAGGCTGAGTCGACCTAGGGGAGGCCCAGGACCGGTTCAGATAATCGTCACTGGTGTTGGCCGTGAGCAGGAATCAAAGTCGGGGTCGCTGGGTTCGTGCGGCAGCATCAATAACCGCAACCGCTCCCCACGCTAGCCTCTACGCTACCGGTTAACAAAAACACACGCGCACATGCACGCACGCACGCACGCCACCTTCAAAAGAACACAAAACCACCAGGAGGCCTTTCAATTTAAATATGCTTTCACAATGAATGTTCTTGTTTGCGAGCGAACTCTTTTAGTTTCGTCTCCTGGAGTTGCTGAGCATAAAAAAAGGCGACGATATCATGTCGAAATTCTACGGAAGATTGAAAGCGTTTTCTTTCACGTGCGTACACCGGCTTAAATCCCAAGTCTCCTTTAACAAAAAGAAAAAAAGATGATTACGATTGCTATGGGCACTTTTAATGTATCCTCATCATGCGCCATGATCAATACGCTGCTGGACGTGGGCCTCCACTGATTTCGCTGCTCCTTAAATTTTGTAGCTCAAAATAAGATATGAATAAAAAATATCTATAATATATGTGTAATGACAGTTGAGTCAACCTACTGTGCGAATGGACTAGTGGCCACGGGAGGTAATGACAGGGGAGTCAGCCTGCAGTGCGAGTGGACTAGTGGCCACGGGAGGTAATGACAGGGGAGTCAGCCTGCAGTGCGAGTGGACTAGTGGCCACGGGAGGTAATGATAGGGGAGTCAGCCTGCAGTACGAGTGGACTAGTGGCCACTGGAAGTAACGACAGGGGAGTCACCCTGCAGTGCGAGTTGACTAGTGGCCACAGGAGGTAATGACAGGGGAGTCAGCCTGCAGTACGAAGGGACTGGACGCTGGCTGTAAATCACCACAGTCCCTTACGTTATGGCAAGCTTCGGGGCTACTTCCTGGAGTCGTGGAGTTCTTCCATTACTCGTACGGTACATTTCATGAAAGCGTGTTTAAAAAAAGGTATTTTTAAATATTGCTTATTTCTGTTTGCCTCGTTTATCGCAAGTTATTTTTTGCGCGTCGCCTTTCGGCGTCGGCCACGCGCGAACCAAACCCACCGTTCTGAGGTCTCTGCTCCTTCTCGATCTTCTCCAGATTCTCCAGGAGCGAATCGATGCGGAACTTCACCTGCCGCAGCTCCCCCTTGATGGCCTGCAGACTCAGGGCCCGCACTGCCAGAGGCGCGCGACAGAGAGAGAGAGAAGCAGCAGGGAGGCCACGGCAGGGATTACTCGGACACCACTTGCACCGACGGCGAGGCACGGCGCACTCGTGGCACGGGCAGCAGAGGTCGCAACCGGGTACCCGATACCCCTGCCCGATACCCGGCTACCCATACCCGGCCGGGTACGGGTACCCGTTTGCGACCCTGGTGCGGCCGGGTACGGGTACGGGTAAGGAATCAAAACCCGTTTGTGAGCTCTGACGGGCGGTTTCCCCACCGGGATATTTGCCGGGTCGAGCCGTGGAATAAAAAAAAAACCGTGATGCGCGAGGCCTCACGAGACATCGGAATCTGGCACAGGGGCTGCGTGTGACGCCATCAGCGGCACAGCACGGGCTTCTGCGGTGGAAAAAGACAAGCCCAGCACGCCTCTTTTGGACCCGTGCTGGGCTAGCTTGGCACAGCGCTGGCGTGGCGCGAGCGGCGTGTCAGTACACAAAGGGGTAGAAACTCACACTGCCACCCACCACCCAGCCGCTTGCACTCCGTGTGGTTTGGCTTCCTGGAAAGTGAGCAGGACCAATCGAGCAATCAACGGACCGACCGACCGATTGTGCCACGGTGGCGAGATATTATCTCTCGCGCCTGGTATGCAGGAGATCGTGGGTTCAATCCCGACCCTGACACCTGCTGTATATGTGGGAATTTGCATGTCTCTCTCACCGTGGTCGTCCACCGGTTTTCCCCTCCACATTAAGAATCAACGTGTGCTTAGAATATTTGTTTGTTATACATTTCCACGCGATAAGCCACTCCGTTGAGCTATCATATGTGATAGGCTTCTGAAAAAGAGCTATTTAGCAGCTCAGTAGGGCCTTACCCGGTAAAAAAAAAATAGTTTCATAGATCGGATGACCGACCGACTGACCGACTGACCGGCCAAGCATCTGCTGCATCGACAAGGAGAGAAAGAATAACAGCGCTTGCTGCTGGGGGCCAGGGGGGTGGGGGTTGCAAGGGAGGGGGGGTGGCGGTGGGTGGGGGGGGGGCTCACGTTTGGGCGCGGGGGCCGCGGTGCCAGTGATGGTGGAGCGTGGGCCGCCCTTCATGGGGAAGCCGCCCTTGCCCCGGCGTGGCGGAGCCGGCGCCGAGATGCGGGGCCGCTTGGCCGGCAGCAGGGCCAGCGGCGGCAGCGGCGGCGGCGGTGCCTGCACGGGGAACTCGTAGAGCCTGGCGGGGTGGTGGACGGACGCAGCGGCAGCAGCAACCGTCAAACCCGGCGAGAGCTTACCGAACGAGCCGAATGCAGCGACTTGATAAAAAAAAATGTAAGCAACATTTTTCTATTTATTTTAGCAGGTAATGCCCCTGCTGAGCTGTGGACTGTAGCTCTCATTCAGAAGCGACCTGGCCACAGATGTTAGCTCAGAGAAGTGGCTCATCACGCGGGCATTTACGGCAGGCAAATGCTCCAAACGCGTGACGTTGATTCTAAATGTGGAGGGGAAATCCACGCGACCACGGGGAGAGACACGCAAACTCCAAATATACAGCAGGCGTCAGGGTGGGGATCGAGCCCACGGCCTCCTGTATACCGGGCGAGGTAGTTAACATCTCCTCGCCACCGTGGCGCTTAACAGCAGCCTCAAGCGAAATGACGCTGTAACGTGGCCGTTACGAAGCCCTTTGTGATAGAGGCGCAGCCCCGCAAACTGCCGGCTTACGCCACCCGCTGGCGGAACGGACTCCACTACGAGAGGGATCTCAAGATAGAGAGAGAGGAGAGCGCTTCTAAAATGCGCATCGGAAGACGTTTTGAACGGAGGTGTGAGTACCCATACTTTACCCCACCAAGTGTGACGACTAACTGTGGTGCACTCTTCTTGTTTCTTTCGGTAAAGTCACATGAAATTGAAATAATAAAATAATAAAAGTAAAACATAATAAAATAATTCTCACGACGTTTCGGCCACAACGCAAGTAGCCGTCCTCAGGTGAAGAACAGGTCTGTCTCCCCGACAGACCTGTTCTTATGTTTTTACTTATATTATTTTATTATTTCAATTCTACGTGACTTTACCGAAAGAACCAAGAAGATGAATCCCTGCAGTCACGAAAGCTTTAAATCGAAATTGTGGTGCACTCATTTATTCAGATGCGAGGTGGGGGGCGGGGGGTTAACCGATGCACAGTGTGAGCAAAGCAATTGCAGGGTTGCTCCTTTAACCTCATGCAATTAACAAAGCCAATATTAATAGGCAGAATATGCATCTTTGGAATGGCGGTACCCGCATATACCTGGCACACACCACGTGCATAAGATACTATTGAGCTAAAGAATGTTGTTAAATTATATCTAGAAATCTATTTATTATATTTAAAAAACTATATTAATTGATAAAGGTTGTGTGTGTTTTGGTGTGAACACACTGACACTTAAAATAACCCCTTTTCAATTATTATTTTAAAATGTTAATTAAATTAGTTGCGTTTTTGGGATAAAACAATTCCTGGAATGTACGACACCTTGAGACGACTTGTGAAACACGTTATGTAAGTGTTAATTGTATTTCCGGGATTATTAGCATTATTATTTGTAAACTGCGAATGAAAAAAAATGCAGTTGGCAATCGTGCACTGTCAACCGTGAACGACAAAACAACACTAAGAAAACATCAATATCTAATAACAACGTTTCGAGCGATGACCCTTCTTAGACAATATCTTTCATAGACTTATTTGCGACATGCTCATTTTTAGCCGATATGTTATCTCCCTCGCCTGCGAGGCAGCCTTAACAGACTGTTGGGGCGAGTGCTGTTAGCCAACACCGAAGGCCGGCACGGCACACGAGGGGCTGAGTGGCCAACACCACGCCCGGCCGCCTTTGTCTCCCCAGTGTCGATGTTTACACACCGCACCAGGTAGTCATTTGAGGCTGAGTCGACCCAGGGGAGACCCAGGACCGGTTCATATAATCGTCACTGGTGTTGGCCGTGAGCCGGAATCGAACTCGGGTCGCCAGGTTCGTAGCGCAGCGCGCTAACCGCTTCACCACCGCTCCCCACGTACACCCCACGTACACACACCCCCCACGTACATACACACAAACCCCACGTACACACACACACCACAGGAGCACACACATCCCACGTACACACACAAACCCCACGTACACACACACCCCAGGTACACACACATCCCACGTACACACACACAGCTCACGTACACACACAAACCCCACGTACACACACACCCCACGTACACACACACACCCCCCACGTACACACACACAGCCCACGTACACACACACCCCACGTACACACACACACAGCCCACGTACACACACAAACCCCACGTACACACACACCCCACGTACACACACACACAGCCCACGTACACACACAAACCCCACGTACACACACACCCCACGTACACACACCCCCCACGTACACACACACACACCCCACGTACACACACACCCCACGTACACACACACACAACCAACGTTCATACACACACACGCGCGCGCGCAGACGCACACAGACGCGCTGCGTGCAAACACGGCGGAGGGCCGAGCCGCCCCTAATTTAAATGTAAATCTCCGCTCGCCTTCCTCGCGTGCCGAGCGAACCAAACAAAACGGAGGGAGCGCGCCTTCCCGAACAATGGGAAACGCGGACCGCGAGCGAAACCGCGCGACTCACCGCCGCCGTCGCGAAACGCAAATTATTTCTTTCAATTGTGTACCGCTCGGGCGCAAGAGAGTTCCAGAAAAAAAATATAAACAAACGAGGAGGAAGGAGGGAAATAAGGTGCGTGGGTTGTTGTTGTCGCTGTTGTGGCTGTGGTGGTGGTGGTGATAGGTGCTGGAGAAGAGACGGAGCTGATGTGGTACAGGAGGATGTGGGGCTGGGTGGACCAGCGACGTCAAGGTCGGCCTCTGTGGAGGAGGAGGAGGCTCGTGAAGGACGCCGCTACTGGGCAGTCGGGAGGCAGTCGCCCTCCAGCATTAGCGGAGGGCGTAGGAGCCACGCTCACAACAACGATCGAAGCACCGGGCGGCTAAAACGGTACAAGTTTGGCACAGTAGGGGGACACAGGTGGTGCATCTGCCAGTTATCTCCGTGAGCCCGTGTAAGCAGGATCTGTCCTGTGACCTGTCAGCAGCAAATCATCGACACTTCACGTGGCCCCAAAGTGCTCCTCGCCTTGCCAAAGCGCCGTGGTGGCGTCACCGCCACTTAGTGGCGGTTGTTGTTGTTGTTGCTGCTGCTGCTGTTGATGGGGATGCAGCGGTGAAGGCTGGCGAAGCTGGCTGTCCCCGGGAGCCACTCTCCTGCCAGTCCGGGAAACTTGTAGAATCTTACCCGCGCCAGGTGTGCCAATTAGCGCCGGGACTCGACGGCTCGCCAATTAACCACCTCTGTTCGCCGCACCTGGCGCGTGACCTCACGTAGCCCGCCCCCCACCCCGTCATCCCACCTGTGTAGGGTCATCCTCCACGACCCTGATGCCTGCTGGATATTTGGAGTTTGCGTGTTTCTCTCTCTCTCTCTCATCATCATCACGGTAGCTAGGAGATGTTAACTACCTCTCCCGGTATACAGGAGATCGTGGGTTCGATCCAGACCCTGATGCCGGCTGTATATTTGGAGTTTGCGTGTCTCTCTCTCTCTCATCATCATCACGGTGGCTAGGAGATGTTAACTACCTCTCCCGGTATACAGGAGATCGTGGGTTCGATCCCGACCTTGACGCCTGCTGCATATTTGGAGTTTGCGTGTCTCTCTCTCATCATCATCACGGTAGCTATGAGATGTTAACTACCTCTCCCGGTATACAGGAGATCGTGGGTTCGATCCCGACCCTGACGCCTGCTGCATATTTGGAGTTTGTGTGTCTCTCTCTCATCATCATCACGGTGGCTAGAAGATGTTAACTACCTATCTCGGTATACAGGAGATCGTGGGTTCGATCCTGACCCTGACGCCTGCTGCATATTTGGAATTTGTGTGTCTCTCATCATCACGGTGGCTAGGAGATGTTAACTACCTCGCCTAGTATACAGGAGATCGTGGGTTAGATCCCGACCCTGACGCCTGCTGCATATTTGGAGTTTGCGTGTCTCTCTCTCTCATCATCATCACGGTAGCTAGGATATGTTAACTACCTCTCCCGGTATACAGGAGATCGTGGGTTCGATCCCGACCCTGACGCCTGCTGCATATTTTGAGTTTGGGTGTCTCTCTCTCATCATCATCACGGTGGCTATGAGATGTTAACAACCTCGCCTTGTATACAGGAGGTCGTAGGTCCGATCCCGACCCTGACGCCTGCTGCATATTTGGAGTTTGTGTGTCTCTCTCTCTCATCATCATCACGGTAGCTAGGATATGTTAACTACCTCTCCCGGTATACAGGAGATCGTGGGTTCGATCCCGACCCTGACGCCTGCTGCATATTTGGAGTTTGTGTGTCTCTCTCTCATCATCATCACGGTGGCTATGAGATGTTAACAACCTCGCCTTGTATACAGGAGGTCGTAGGTCCGATTCCGACCCTGACGCCTGCTGCATATTTGGAGTTTGTGTGTCTCTCTCTCATCATCATCACGGTAGCTAGGATATGTTAACTACCTCTCCCGGTATACAGGAGATCGTGGGTTCGATCCCGACCCTGACGCCTGCTGCATATTTGGAGTTTGTGTGTCTCTCTCTCATCATCATCACGGTGGCTATGAGATGTTAACAACCTCGCCTTGTATACAGGAGGTCGTAGGTCCGATTCCGACCCTGACGTCTGCTGTGTATATTTGGAGTTTGCGTGTCTCTCTCTCATCATCATCACGGTGGCTATGGGATGTTAACAACCTCGCCTTGTATACAGGAGGTCGTAGGTCCGATTCCGACCCTGACGTCTGCTGTGTATATTTGGAGTTTGCGTGTCTCTCTCTCTCCCCGTGGTCGGTGGATTTTTCTCCGGGTCCTCCAGTTTTTCCCCTCCACTTTTAGAATCAACGTGAGTTCATAGTAATGTGGCTGCTATAAATGTGCACGTGATGAGAAGCCACTTCGTTGAGCTATCATCTGTGACAGCCAGGTCGCTTCTGAACAAGAGATAACGCAGCTCAGTGGGGCCTCACCTGGTAAAACAAAAAAATGTGAATAGTTCATGTACCTCTTAAATCACATGCATCGTAGAATGCATCATCGAGCAGTTCGGCTGCT